AATCTTAACAATAATGAGGCTACTAATACGAAAACGATTAATTATACGAGTAATAGCAAGAAGACGATATCACTACGAATGATACTGAGATGAATAATTCGAAGACGAATACTAATACTATTACTCATAAGAGTAATGAGTATAAGTAGAATACCGAACAAATAATTACTAATATTAGAGATAATACTCGTAGTAAGAATAATGCGACTACTCATAAGGAGGAGGAGGAGGAGGAGGAGGAGGAGGAGGAGGAGGAGGAGGAGGAGGAGGAGGAACACCAGGAAAAAGAGGACGAGGACGATAAGAACGAGAACTGCTGTCCTCAGGGCACCCTGGCGGCCGCGACCCTCGATGGCGGGCCGCCCCTACGCGGGCGCTGGCGCATGGCACCCAGCCGAGCCGACGCCGAATGGGCGCCCGCCGTCGCTGGTGGACCTCCTCACGCAGGCGGCGGCGCCGCCGCCGCCGTCGTCGTCGTCGTCGTCGGCGGCCGCGGCGGCAGCGGCGGCGGCGGCGGCGGCGGCGATGGCGTCGCGCAGAGGAGGAAAAGGCACCGACACCGTTACGTTTACGCCCATCCGGACCTCCCTGGAGGCCTGGGTCGCTGCGGCCAGAGTCGCCTCGAAATTCTGGAGAGCGCGCACCGGGAGAGGCCCGCGGAATGGCGGTAACAGTATTTTGTTTGGTTTCCCAGTCGCGGCGTCGGTGGCGGCAGCGTCGTCGGAGGCGGATTGAGACCAAGAACGGGGGCGAGCGAGGGGGGAAGTGAGAAGCATAATGCCTTCTCAGCAGGCGGCGGGACTTCTCAGAAGCCCTCGCGCCTTCTTGAGAGGTTGTTTGTGCCTTGGGGGAAGGCTTCGACAACTTCTCACAAGGCCGGGGGACTTCCGAGCCTTCTGAGAAGGCCCGCCCCTTCTCACTTCCCCCCTCGCTCGCCGCCGAAAGAAGGGGGGCAAGGGAGGGTAAGGCAGGGGGGAAGGTCGGCCACCTCCCAGGATGTTGCCCCCCGCCTTCCCTGGGCGTGTGCTGCAGGCGCAGTGTGAGCTGGAGCGTGGCCTCTCGTAGAGGTCCCGCTCGTCAAGCACGGGGGCCATTGATCGCACCCACGGCTGGCGTAGGCCGTGCCGCTGCCCATGAGCTCGCAAGGGTTTTGGATGAAGTCTGCACAGGACCTTGCTGGCCCCGAGAGAGCCTGGCCTCTAAGACGGGACACGTAGCCTGCTCTTCGAGGGGCACGAGCTTTGTCTGCGAGCGTGGGCACCAGTGTAGCATTTTCAAGGGCAATGTCCCTGGTAAGCTGTATCTAGTGGAACAAAAGGGCCAAATCTACAAACGTTCAGAGCTCCGCGCGGATTTCCTGGATCGGCGCTGGTCCCCCCTGACCTGGCTCGCGGAGCGCGCCAGGGGCGGCGCCGGAGGCGCCGCAATGGGGCCCAGCGCCGATCCAAGAAATCCGCGGGAAGCTCATGAAGTCTATGTTTACGTATTTCTCTCCTCTTGTTCTCATTGGCAGCTGAGGGTTTTGGCATTTGGTCGGCGGCGAGCGAGGGGGGAAGTGAGAAGTTGTAGGCCTCCTCAGAAGGCTCGGAAGCCCCCTAGCCTGCTGAGACGTCTTCCAAGCCTTCCCCGAAGACCCAGACAGCTCGTCAGAAGGTGCGAGGCCTTCCGAGAAGTCCCGCCGCCTTCCGGGGAGGCCTCCTCAGTTCCCCCCTCGCTCGCCGCCGAATTTCGTTTTTGGGTCATAAGTCGGGTTTCGGGCGGCCGTTCGGGACTACAGTCGGGGCCCTGAAGAAGGAACCCTTTTGGTTGGGGAGGGGCTCCGCGTTCCTTGAGTGTTTCACAGCTTGCCTCAGGTTTTCCTTACGTTTTCGATAGGAAATCGAAGGTTAACTTGTGGAAAAAAGGGGCCTCGTTCCTTATTTTGGGTTCCTTAGGTCAAGACCCCGACTGTATCCAGGCCCCCCTCTGGAACGCCCTCGGCGAGGTGCAGCTGCTGGCCAGCATGCCGAGGCTGGAAAACCGCCGCGCACCGACGAACACGCCCGAACACCTCGAACCTCGAAGTCCGAACCTCGAGTCTTGGGAGGCCGCTTCGCGCACCTGGCTCCTCGCTTTTCTCGGGGGAGCGTAAGACCCGGGTTTGCCAGGACTCGGGTTCGCCATCGCTTTTTGACGACCGCGACTCGGATTTTGACGAGTAGGAGTTTCGTGGGATGTCTGCAGCGGAAGGCCTCGTCAAAATGCAGGCTCGGCCTCGTCATTTTTTTGACGACCTCGTCGGGGATTTCCGAGTCCCCTGTACCCGGGTCTTACGCCCCCCTGATTTTCTCAGGAGGGGAAAAGACACGCAGACACAAGTAATCGTCGACTCCCAGGAAGGTGTGGACAAAAACATGGGAAGCGGGGGAGAGGACCAAAAATCCCAGAAGATGTGGGACACTATGGGGAGTCTCGTTATTTGGTGTATTTGTTTGGGTGTCCATGGGCCCCTCGATTCTCGCTTTTCCCCCCCGCTCGCTCGCCGCCGAGTTCACCAGCCTCGAACGTATCCCTATCCCCAAGATCGACACGCCCAAAGGCGATGACAATCTCAGGGATTCGACCTCCAAAGATAAGGGAATCCCTAAGATTGGCATCGTGACGAGGAGGTGCCCAGCATAGGGATAGGGATATGTTCCAGGCTGGTAGAGAGAGGAGGCGGGGGGAGGGAGGCGGGAGCAGGGAGAGAACCGAGAGGCGCAGGAGACGGGGCGCGCAGCGGGTGGGCGTGAGCCACCAGACACCCCCCCTTTGGTCAGGAGGGGAAAACACACACACACAGACACAATTGATCGTCGATCCCCCAGAAGATATGGGAAAACATGGGAAGTGGGGAGGGGGGGGGGGGGGAAGACAAAAACCCAGAGAACATAGGAAAACAGTGGGATTGGTTGTATTTGTGTGTATTTATTTGTGCGTCCTGGGGATATGCTCCAGGCTCGCCGCCGAGTGGGCTTCCCCTCGAGCAGCGCACGCTGGCCGCCCGGCGCGCGGGCCTCCCCTGGCGCGTCCTTCTCCGAATGGGGGTCCTCGCCGCCTCGTGCGCCCGCTCCCTGCGGCCACCCCCCGCCTCGGGCGCAGCGTTATTTTTTGTTGTTGTGTTTTGTTTGTTGTTGTTGTTGTTGTTGTTGTTGTTGTTGTTGTTGTTGTTGTGGTTTATCATTATGTTTTTTTTTTTTTTTTTTTTTTTTTTTTTTTTTTTTTTTTTTTTTTTTTTTTTTTTTTTTTTTTTTTTTTTTTTTTTTTTTTTTTTTTTTTTGTTTTTTTGTTTTTTTATGGATTCGTTTTTTTGTTTTTCTTTTTTTCGTTTGTTGTTTTTTTGTTTGTTTGTTGGTTTTATTTATCATTTTGGCTTTTTTTGTTGTTTCGTTTTTTGTTGTTTTTGTTTGTTGCGTTTGTTTATCATTTTGTGCTTTTTGTTGTTTCGTTTGTTTTTGTCGTTTTTGTTTGTTGCTGTCGTTGTTTATCATTTTGCGTTTTTTTGTTGCCTTTTTTGTTTTTGTCTTTGTTTCGTTTTTTTTTTGTTGTTGTTTTTGTTTTTGTTTCTGTTTTTTGTCTCTGGAGCTCCGCGGCATGACGGTGGAAACCCATGCCAAGAAACACCCGGCTTGCCTCCAGGGTGCCCCCGGGTGGCTCGTGTTTCGATGGTCTTGCTGCGGACAGCGTGGCGGTCCCACCCCACAATTCGATGGGCTTCTGGGCTTCCTGGGGTCTCAGGGTTGGGTTTCTCGTGGAGGGTTTCTTGTGGTCGATCTCCTATACAGTCGGGGCGCTGAGGAATGAACCGTTTTCGTTGGGGAGGGGCTCGATGTTCCTTAGTTGTTTTGTAGTTCGCCTTGAGTTTTGCTTAGGGTTTCGATGGGAGATCGAAGTTTTACTAATGGGAAAAAGGGGCCTCGTTCCTTATTTAGGGTTCCTTAGGTCAACGCCCCGACTGTACGTTCGACCACCAGGCAGCCTGCTCTGCAGATGCCAGGTGAGCGACGCAGGAAGCGGGGCCGACTGGCGAGTAAGCTTCCCGCGTGGGGTCGCGCGCAAGCGCCTTTCTCCCCACGCGGTGTGACATGCTGGCGGTCTGCGCAAGCCGTTGCGTAAGGTCGCTATGTCTTCTTGCGTAAGACCCGTCTCTTTGCGTCGCTCGGGTGAAGAATAAAAAGAAGTGTCGCAATGCGTGATCGAATTTATCGATGTACCCCCCCTCTGCTTGCAGGTCTTCAGCACTCCCTCCAGCAAGGGCGCGCTGTCTGGGGCCTTCTGGACTGTCCTGGGTAACTGTTCCAGCTGTTGCGGCCATGCTTCTCTAATCGCAGATGGCTTCTTTTGGGTGGTCTCAGGCGCTACTATGGTCTCCGCCAGGTCTTTCCTGTCTTGGCCCCAGATATCTCAACGCGGGTTTACCTGGCACTCAGCAGGAGGTGCATGACGGGTTGGATGATCTCGACCTTTTGTAGATCTCCGCTGAGGCCCCCCCAAGTGCTCGCTTCACTGCAGGAATGGTTGTCTCCTCACGGCTCTGTCTCCAATGTACATGAAATGGCGGCCAGATTTGTGTCCAGAGGACGGTCGACCTTATGGGCGCCATGCTTGCTTTGGCTGGCTGTGCTTGTTTCCGGTGGTGCGTGTTGAGCTCGTGCTACGGCGACAGGGTGTTCGCCAAAAACCCTCTGCCTCTCCCCTCCTCCGCCGTCCTCATACCCTCAGATGCGACGTCGCGAAAACGCCGCACCACCGCAGCAGAACTCGACCCGAGCCCTGGACCCCATCTCTCTCTGCGCCAGCACTCGAGCCCCATCGATCTGCCGCGGCCCCCGAGCCCGAGCGAGGGCGAACTCGCCCGGGACGAGCATGTGACACCAGCAGGATCCCAGGGCAGCCCTCGTGCTCCTCCTCCTCCTCCTCCTCCTCCTGCTCCTCCTCCTCCTCCTGCTCCTGCTCCTGCTCCTCCTCCCATCCCTGCGTGCCGCAGCCACATCCCTGGTGGCCCGAGGGGGCGGGGCCAACGCGCGCGGCCTGCGCACCCCGGCGCCGGCATGTCGTCCAACGCCGCGCTGGTGATGTGCGCGAGGGGGGCGAGGAACCAGGCGTCCGGCGCGGACGAGCCGTGGTGGCGACGAGGATCGGAGGTTGACAGGCCTCCTACCCTGACACGTCGAGTAAGGAATTGGCCGCTCTCGGTTCGCGAGAGGGCGTCGCGGCCGTCCTTTTTGCGGGTCCGGTTCCGTTGGCTTCGGTCCCAGGCCGTCTTCACGAAGGGGAGATCTACTAAAGGGAGGTTTGTCCATCGCCGAGAGGACGGCGAGCATGGTGGCAGGGGTGACGGGGACGGTGATGGTGTTCGGTGGCAAGTCATGGGAGCCTGGCATACGCTCTGACTTCTGTCTTCAGCGTCGATTAGTGTCGATTGACGTCTGGAGTCGATGAGATAGCGCCGATCTAGCGTTGGCTGGCGTCGATTGGCGTCGATTTGACGATGATTAGCGTCGGCGTTGATTTGGCGTCGATTTGCGTCGACTCGCAAGAGCCGACAAGATAGTATGGGAGGCTGCCATGAGTTGCCACCGAAGTTGTGATAACTAGGGTGTTGCTAGAAGTGCCCCTGGCCCAAGGTGCCCCCAGGATTTCCAAGGAAGCCCCCGCGGCCTCCAGAGCACCCCTCACGAGGCCCAGTGGGCCCCAGGGGCTCCAAGATTGAGCGAACAGCTGGGGGCACCTTGGGCCAGGGGTACCTTTTACAACCCGCGAATGATGGGTGATGATGGATGATGTTGTTGTTGAACCCCTGTTCTGAAGAGCAATTGTCGTCGATCCTCCCCCCCTTCCTCCGGCGCCCCTCGCATTTTTTCAACGGAAGTGCTCCTCCCTGGGCTCGTGCCATGCTTTTTTATGAGGGGGCGTCTTGAGAGTCAAATTGGGCCCCTGGCCCCCGAATTACAACAACAACTGCTCCAGCTCGATACCCCTCACCATTTATTCCAGGTCGTGCTCTCGCGCGGGACTTTCTCAAAGCTTATGCAGGAATCGCTCTCTCGTGTGGGATTTCCTGCAATTTACTCAGACGCCGCGCCCTCAACACTCAGGAATCTCGCTCTCGCTTTTGGATTTTCTCACGATTCACTCGGGAGTCGAACTATCGCTCGAGACTTCCTCGTGATTCATACTGGACTCACGCTTCAGCAACCCGCCTGCTCGACCTGGCCGCCTCGGCCCGCTTTCCCGATCCGCCCGCTATGGGCTCGCCCGATCTGCCCGTCTGGTTCTACCACGTGTTTTCGATTCCTAGCTACCCTCCTACTATTTCTCTGGTGCTCCATCCTTCTCCCTCCCCCTTCCATCCGTCCTCTCTTCCCCCGTTTCAGGGGCTGCGCTACATGCACGTGGCCGATAAGGGAGATACGCCCCAAGGGGGTATGATCGAAGACGAGGAGGGCGGCTACCGAGGGTTTGGGATGTACGTGTTGCATGGCACGCGAGCAGATCGGAGAGAACAGTATTCAGCACATTGTTGTTCGTTGATGTCGTCGTCGTCGCTGCTGCTGCTGCTGTTGTTGCTGCTGCTGCTACTGCTGCTGCTGCTGCTGCTGCTGCTGTTGTTGTTGTTGTTGTTGTTGTTGTTGTTGTTGTTGTTGTTGTTGTTGTTGTTGTCGTTGTCGTTAGCATTATCGTTTTCGTTGTCGTTGTTAGTGTTGTCGTTGTTGTGTGTTGGTGCTGTTGCTGATGCTGTTGCGGTTGCTGTTGTTGCTGTCGCTGTCGCATTCGTAGTTGTTGTTGTTGCCGTGGTTGTTATTGCTCTTGTTGTTGTTTGTGTTGGTATTGGTATTGTTGTTGTCGTTGTTGTTGTGGTTGTTGTTGCTGCTGTTGTCGTTGTCCTTGCTGTTGTTGTAGTTGTTCTTGTTGTTCTTGGTTTTAGTTTTCGTTCTCGTTGTTGTTGTTGACGGAACCTCTCGCTGGCGACCCCCCCCAAGGCGCGACGCAACGCAACGCAGCGGACCCTCCCCCCCGCGCCCCGCAACGCGACAGAACGCCTCTCCCCGCGCAGCGCAACGCCTCGCTCTGCAGCGCCCCCTCTTGTGATTGCCACTGAACTCTGCTTGGCGTTTTTTCTTTGGCTCTTTCCGTGGTTGCTGCTCTTGGCCACCCGCGGTCACGCTGCCATCGGGGTTCGCGCCAGTGCGCGAAACAGCGTCGGTGCTCTTGTGTTTCCTTGGCGTCGCGCTGCGGCTACGGCCGCGCTGCGTGCGGACTTGTGGCGCTTGCGTCGGGGGCGCCCTGCATACAACCCCAAAAAAGTTGGGAGGAGTTCTTAGGATTCCAGTAGGATTCCTAAGGATTCCTGGGGGATTCCTGATTCTTCAGGATCCCCAGTGGATTTTCAAGGATTTCCAAGGGATTCCTAAGGATCCCGCAGGGAGTGCTAAGGATTCCGTAGGGAGTGCTCAGGATTCTGTAGGGAGTCAGAAGGATTCCGTAGGGAGTGTTGAAGTTTCCGTAGGGAGTCCTAAGGATTCCGTAGGGGTTTGCTAAGGATTCCGTGGGGAGTGCTAAGGACTCCGTCGGGTGTGCGAAGGATTCTTGAGGAAGCGCTAAGGATTCCATAAGGATTCTTAGGATTCCGGAGGGATTCGCTAGGGATCCCTAAGGATTCCCTCGGGGTTCCTAGGCATCCCTGAGTTTACTCTATTCTAAGGATCCCCTACAGAGGAGTATTCAGCTCCGCACCCCCCCACCTCACCCCCCGCAATGCAACGCAACGCAACGAAGGCTACATTGGTAGCCGTTTTGCGCTGCGTTGCATTGCGGGAGGGGGGGGGTCCGGGTACACCAGTGAGATGTATCACTACGTGGAGCGAAAGGGCGAACTAGAGGTCCCAGTCCGGGTTCACCAGCAGTTTTCTTTGTCTTGTTGTTGATGTTGTTGTTGCTGTTGTTGTTGCTGTTGCTGTTGTTGTTGTTTCTGCTGTTGCTGCTGTTGCTCTTGTTATTGCTGCTGTTGTTGTAATTGTTGCTGCTGTTGTAGCTGTTGTTAAATCTTAGCTGCTAAACACACGCTATTGTTGCCCCCTGGATCCGCTGCTGAATTTCTTTTAAGACCTGAGCTCGCACTCCGGTTTATTCGGGGATGCGCCGATGCCGTCTACCCAAAACGCTCCCGCTCGATACCTCCTTTTTCCCAACCATCCTGTGGTGTTGGGTCCTCGCTTTGACGAGACGGTGTCCCGCGTTCCTCCTTCCCGCCCTCCTCGCCCTCCTCCCTCCTCCCTGCGTTTCACCCAGCCAGTACAGCGTTTCGTGGCCCCATGGGGAGCTCCACCGAAGGCCCCAGTGGCAGGGTTCGCATAGCGGCCTCGGGCCATTTCGGCACACCCCTCACGAGGATCGTGGCCCCATAGGGAGCTCCACCGAAGGCTCCAGTGGCAGGGTTCGCATGGCGGCCTCGGGCCATTTCGCCACACCCCTCACGAGGATCGTGGCCCCACAGGAGCTCCACCGAAGGCGCCGGTGGCAGGGTTCGCATGGCGGCCCGGGGCCATTGCGGCACACCCGTCACGAGGATCGTGGGCCCATAGTTGTGCTGCTTCAACAACCGCCCCTGGGCGTCGTACGCCGCCTTGTCGACGTGCAACGCCACCTCCCTCCTCATGGTTCTCAAAACTCTCCTCTGCTTCTGCTCCTCGGTCAGAGGGACGCCGTCCTTGTCGTCGTCGGCGCCCGCGAAGGCGGCCACGAACGTGCTCCTGAGCATGTCGGGCTCCGGCGGGAAGCCGTGGCCACATAGGGAGCGCGGGCGAAGATGGTATTCACAATTGCGGTATTCACAACTGCATATGTTTGGATCCTTCGCCAGGCCAATTTTCTACTCGGGACTGGGGCTCTTGCTCGCCACCAAGAGTCGTCTTGCCCACAAAACTAGCGCTCCCTTTCGATTTTTCCCCAAAGCTTGTGACTTTTTTAGATTCAGGACCAGCGCTCCCGCCTCGGTGCCGCAAGCGGCCACTCCTGCAAACAACGGCACTCCCGCTCGGTACTTCCGCCGCTGTGATTCAATAGTTCCAGAGGCCATGAGGCTTTCGTAGTCGATGCTGAACCTTACGATAAGAAACTGATAATTGTGGGACGCCCTAGACTTTCGTCTCGGCGCCCTCTGCAGTTCCTTTTGAAGAATTGGCTTCCGCTCAGGCGTTGTGGGTTTGCGCCGAAACAGACCCCCTAACAACAACCACGCTTCCGCTCGATATTCATTTTTTCTTCACCATCCTGTGGTGTTGGGTCCTCGTTTTGCAGACACGGCGCCCCGCGTTCCTCCCCGTCCTCCTCCCCGTCCTCCCTCCTCTTCCCTCCCTGCGTTTCACCCACCCATTACAGCGTTTCGTGGTCCCATAGGGAGCTCCACCGAAGGCGCCAGTGGCAGGGTTCGCATGGCGGCCTCGGGCCATGTCGGCACATCCCTCACGAGGATCGTGGCCCCGTAGGGGGCTCCACCGAAGGCGCCAGTGGCAGGGTTCGCATGGCGGCCCCGGGCCCTGTCGGCACACCCCTTGCGAGGATCGTGGCCCCGTAGGGAGCTCCACCGAAGGTGTCAGTGGCAGGGTTCGCATTGCGGCTTCGGGCCATTCCGGCACGCTCGTCACGAGGATCGCTGCCCCACAGGAGCTCCACCGAAGGCGCCAGTGGCAGGGTTCGCATGGCGGCCTCGGGCCATTTCGACACATCCCTCACGAGGGTCGTGGCCCCATAGGGAGCTCCACCGAAGGCCCCAGTGGCATGGTTCGCATTGCGGCTTCGGGCCCTTTCGGCACGCCCCTCACGAGGATCGCTGCCCCACAGGAGCTCCACCGCTGGCGCCAGTGGCAGGGTTCGCATCGCGGCCTCGGGCCATTTCGCCACACCCCTCACGAGGATCGTGGCCCCACAGGAGCTCCACCGAAGGCGCCAATGGCAGGGTTCGCATGGCGGTCCGGGGCCA